GTGGATTGTGATCACCCTAAAACAGCTCCAAGCTTAAAAACTCCATATGCAATGGCAGCAGCTGTCACACCTCTATACTGAATTGTGTATTTCTACCTAAATAAGAGAATGACTCAAAGAGTGTTTAAATGATCAACTTTCTTATGTTTGCACAAAATTCAACAAATGTTTGCAGTGGTCATCTTGCATCTTGGTTTAGGCTTCTCATCAGCAGCTTGCATGACCTTATAAAAAAAACAGGCCTAAATGCTTTTCTGGATGGCTCCAAACATTGTACAAACCAGAAATATAAGTTTGGGGTTTAAATTTAGTGCACGTTTTGTGTTCTAAGAAAGGAAAACATTTTAATATGGCAATAATACTGCTGCCTATCTTGGCCAGGACTCTCTTGAAAAAGTTTTTTTTAAATCTCAATAGGATTTTTTTTCTGGTAAAATAGAGGTTGAATGACAACAATACATATCAGGTCTATCTGTGAAGCATGAYGGTGTTAGTAATATGATGGGCCTGTTTTGTTGTACCTAAACCAGTCTAGTTTGCATTTAAAGTTGGACTATAGATGACAAATACATAAATGGTCTTTATATTTGTCTTAGGCAATCAATTTTGAGAACTTGTATAAATTAAAAATAGGCAAAAGCAAAAGACGCCAAAATGAAAAGTTTTAAGTCATCAAAGAAACAACATTTCTAATGCATCAACCGTAGTTTCATATCGTTTGCTCAAACTGATCCTTAATTGACTTCCCTCCAATGAGCTACCTGTTTAAAAGTGTTTTTCTCTTGATTAAAGCATCGTCAGGACAGAAAACACGTCATTTTATAGTTTCTTTTCTGTTCACTCTTCCTGTAAGAATTAATTGACAGGAAGAACAGTTTGCTCTAAATCATCGTGGCTCTGTTTTGGTTGATTGACATCCATCCTCTCCACAGGATGGTCTCAGTGGACATGTGTGGGAGGGAGGGCGAGTGAGTGTTGTGTGTGTGTGTATGTGTGTGTGTGTGGGGGGGGGGGGGGGTTCCCTGTAGCGCATCTCAGGCCGTAGCTCACGAAGTGCAGCTAAATGAGTGACTGTGTATCAGCTGCCCCAATTAAGGGTGCTAATGCGTGAGAGCGTGTATGTTAGGAAGGTGTGAATGTCTTCTGTGTCAGTGCTGAGACATCATTTAAAGCCTTCTGCGTTGATTGTTTCTATGGCTCCCTTGCACCGTTTTTCAGAGCATTCAAGCAGATCAGAGAAGGAGAAGTGATCGGAGAAATTCTGTGAACAAATTTCAGAAAAAAAAAAACAGTAGGCTATTCTTTTTTTTTTTTTTTTGGTGTTTGCCACTCATATAGAAAAAAAACTACAAACAGGCACTCAAGAACACACACACCTTCCGAACATTTCTACACGGCTGTCTTCGGCTAAATTATTGTTGCTAGTAATAGCTGCAGGGTCTCGGAGAGAGGTTTGTCAAGGGAAATAAAGCACAGCCGAGCGAGTATAAACTTCCTGCCTCTGAAGGAAACAACTGTTGTCATGGCAAAGCTAATTTAAAAGACCAGTTYGAAAAAGACAAAACATTAACAGGCTTTGAGAGACAACATTTATTAGCACAAACTGTATTCATGAGATAATAAATGGATACCGTCTTTTCTAAGCCGGGGAAGTTATGGTGTGTTAATGGGTGACTTTCTCAGTTTCACTGTCCACCTGGTTTAACATCCCATCAGAGGATTATCTGTAAAGCTGTAAGAGATCCAGCCTACTAAATCACTGCTGTCCTACTTTCTTAGCTTGTTATGAATAGCCTTTAATATCATTACCCTATAAAAACCAAGTCCAMTCTCCCACAGGCACTTAATTGTGATGTAGGATTAAGTGTAGACAATTGYATAAATGAAACCACACCCACACATGTTATCATGCCTGTGTTTGCTGCACGAAAATTGCTGGTTACTCAATGTCAACATTCACGCTATTTTAAATATTTTTTTGCAGCTTTTCCAAAACACCATCCTCATGCAGAATCTTTGCAGTATTGGCAAACAATAATACATGTGTGAGAAAGCAGGACAGTTTGTGTTTGCATGTGTGGGAATGTGTGCAAGATTTTGCATATGTCCAGCTTTTCTTTGGTCACTTGCCTTGTGCTAGCTGCTTTTTTTGGCTGCCGGTTAAAACCAAAAAAGCCCCAGCAGCTCTAGTATGTTATTAAAGGGGGTAGACTTTATATGGTTGACGTGATGTTCTGCCAAAAACAGTAGTTATTAATAGTTAGTAGTACCTTTTTGGCTGTGACACAAGTCATAGAGAAAGGAGTACACAGAAAAGAGCAGTAGCTAATGACTTTGCACAACAATGTTCCTAGTTTCCCATTCAAACACCATACTTGTTATGTGTGTGCACCAAGTATCTTATTCTGCTAATAACTCCTGTTTGGTGTTGTTTATTGGACTGGATGATTGAAGTCTGAAAAAAAAAACAAGCTGTATTGGCAATTTTACATCTTCTTTATACATCAAACTGTCTCAGTATCAGGTGGCAGATAATGATGTTCGATACCACAGATTTCCTTTTCGATTCTGATAYAGAGTAAAACTCATTCTGGTATTAGCTACTGTATACTGATCTGATACTAATACTTTATGCAAATAAACCTAATGTGTCTGGTAAATCTAAAAAAAGAGTAGCATAATTTAAATCACAGAAATAATACAAGACATCAGAATACTAATTTATAAATTTTAAACTCAGAAGWATATTGATGTAGGGTCCTCATTTACATTAGAGCAGAGCTAATACAACAGAAAAAAGAAAAAAAATAACAGAGGACACAATCATACCAAACGTGAAAATGGTGGTTAAACAGTTTATTCACTTTATTATCCAATTATTAAATGATGGATTTTTTATTTATTTTCTAGGTACATACATTAGTTCAAATCTATACCACAATTAAGTAACTATGTTATCTTCATTATGGAAAAGCTGTATACATAAAAAACAGTGCTGGGTATGGATTAAAATTTTTTAATCGCGATTAATCTCAAGATATTTTTCTGATTTATCTCAATTATTTTTTGCAACGATCACTCTAATATGGCTGAATGTGTACGTTAGTATCTTGAAATACATATGTGACACACTACTTCTTTTGTATTTCATTTTAACTTCTCRTTGCTTATTGTATTTTTTCCTGACAAATGGGGCTTCATCTGTCTTTCATTACTCATAATACTCATTTGGAATGACAAAAAAAAATCTTTGAATTTTTGATTTAATTTCATTTTTCTGCACAAACTTTAACTGGCTCGAATTTGTTTAGAGCATTTTAGGTAATGTTTTATAGAAAAACAGGGCAATGCATTTTCAGAAACTTTTAACACAAAAGACAAAACAAGCCAGTCTTACTTTTTCCTTTTTCTCCCACACKCTGGTCAGCAGAATAAATGAGGGGACATTCTGGAACAAACAGCACCCCTAAGCTGATCCCAGAGGTGATCAGTAGGGTTGAGATCAGTACTGAAGACAGGCCCTTTCTTTTCTCCCCACTCCCAAATTCTGGACATAATCTCTGATAAAATACGCTCTGTGAAGGTGAGCATTGTTACCTTGGAGGATAAAGTGCTATCCCAGACTGTAGAAAGATGGAATTGTGACTGGTTGCTCACAGGTGCTGACAATTAGGTGCCTGATTGTCAGCACCTGGTGTACTAGAAGCTCAGAAAAAAAAATAAACACTCAACTTTGCTGCTCAATCCGCAAATGCATTTTTCTTACAAATGTGACACCATTTAAGGGGAAATGAAGAGGTTTAGATTAGTTTAGGATTTATCACCAAGAAATCTTGTTACAATGAAGAAAAAAATCAACCAAATGCAGATTTTCTCATTTCTGTGCCATGTTTATTTGACAAAACCTCACTTTAAAAATCACCGAGCTGTCTCTGTAACACTTTCTTTTACRGTACCCTTATTACAATGTAATTAAAATGTAATAGGTAATTACTACCTTATTACTATGTAATTGCATGGCAATCAGGGTACATTTTTACTATATGATTGTCTGCAGTAATGTATCACTTACCTGGTAATGTATTACGATTCACTATGTAACACCTAAATAAGTAGTAGGTAATTTTGACAGTTTTAAAGTTATATTTTATTGCAATTAACCACTAACCCCAAAATCTAGTTGCATTCTTTTTGTTATAAATATAGTGTTGAGTTACTATTGAATAGTTACCCAATAAATGTAGTTTACTAACATTAGTTTTTCTTTTGTACCCTAATTTTCAAGTAATTACACAGTAATAAGGTAGTGATTACATGTAATTACATTTTTATTACCTTGTAATTACATAGTAATAAGGGTACCGTAAAAGAAAGCATTTCCACTGTCTCTTTAAGACTTAGACTGCAGCTGGAATTGACTGACCTATTAGTTTGATTCACGTGATGGCTTGCAGAGCCAAAASAACAAACTCCCCATTTTATCCCTTCTTAATAAATTATTCCTTTGTTTGTCTTTGAACCTTCAGTCAAACATGCTCACGTTCTCATTTGCAAATCCTCGTGACGGWGGCTTTTGGAAACTGAAACTCAGACAGTGTTTGGGGTTTTTTATTTCTGTGTGCTGCATTCATAGATAAATGTGAATTCATTCATGAGCTTTAAGTGGTCGGAGATGGAAAGCTATTTCCGCTGARCAACTCCTGCATTGGGGTTAAATGAATCGTCAATGAATGTGCAATGACTGTTGACACTGATTTACTCTAAGCTGTTGTAGCCATCCCTGCATGTGTGTGAGAGTGAGGGGAATTTTATCAGTAATACGTTTTCTGTTATGCCAACAGCTAAGTTATTATGACAGCATCCACTTTCCCAMAGAGATGACCATCAGAAGATGTCTTGTGATGGTTTTTTTTTACTTCTCCCCCACATATTGATTATGTCAGTTTACTCACATGTCTCTCACACTCATTGTCTCACAGTCACTCCACCTTGTCTTTCAGAGCTCAGCTGGCTTGCCATGACGACCGAGGAGTGTCCTGTGCCACTGGGGATCATTTCCTCAGCAGTGCCAGGGCAGGACGAGGAGTACAGCTCGGCACAGGCTGATGACATCATTGAGGAAGTGGGTCCGGGCGATGATGTCAGCATTGGCAGTGACCTGAGCACTCTGGTGTTGCCCTTTCCCGAGCTGGCGCCCGTGGTCTTCTTCTGTCTCAAGCAGACCACCTGTCCACGCAACTGGTGCATCCGCATGGTTTCCAGCCCATATCCTTTCATTCACCAATGGAAAAGGCTTCTTTGACTTTAAGCATGACCTCTGCATATTCCAGAATCATCACTGATTTTAGGCCTTTAGCCCACATGCCGGTTATCTACATGTTCAGTTGTACTTTTTTGAAACACACATCCGTGTATKTTTTCCCATCTAGTGTTTATTTTTTAAGTTCATTGTTTATTTTTTCTTTTTTTTTGTTATTTGCTTTGCAACTTTTTGTGGCTAGCTTCATCACTCTCTACACTCTCACCAAAGCCTCATAAAATCTCATTGGTTTATGATCTGGATTTGCAATCACATTACATTGGTCAGCCCYGAATCTTCTCAAAGTAAGTGTGTTTGACTTTTAAATGTGCAGCTGTAGCTGCTCACAAGGTGTATTATGCGCTTTTGGGTGCATGAGTGTGTTTTTGTGTGTGTGTGCCTCTTGGCTCGTGCCAAGGAGGTTCTATAGAACAGCTTGAGTGYGCAGAAACCATGTGAYCATGTGATCGGCTGGTGAAGCTAATGGCTAAAGCAAAATGGTTAAGAGTCTGTATTTCCCATTACTGTACATGTTGACAACAGCAGAAAAAAAGGACTGACAATGTAGAAATCATAAAAACTATTAATAATAATATTAACATAATTATTATTAATATTTTTAAAGTTCATATAATCTATTTTAAATAATGTCAGAAAAACTGTTTGTGTTATGGATTTATTAACAGAAGATAAACAGGAATCGTCTCATTTTACAACACAAGTCAGCAGATGTGATCTTATTTAGCTCAATGTGATCTGAGCAGAACATAACAGTTTAAAATTAAAATAATCTTATAAAGTCCATGTAATCACTGTTATTTATTGAACTGGTTAGCAGATATTAGCTTGTGGAGCATATATACAGAATTTAGCTCTGTTGGATCACACTACAATTTAACACAAACTATTAAATATTATTTTGTCCTCTGATTAATATTTAGACCAACAGAGTGTAAAAAATTAATATAAATGTAAGTAGCGGTGGCGGCAGATGTATGTAGCTGTGCAGTATCGCTGCAGGAAAATACATTCCATTTGGCTTTACAGGCATCTGCAGGTCTGTTTTTGACCAAATTTACCTCAGCTTTAGTGTT